TAAAACCTTTACAACGTCCTCGCAACCGAAAAGTCGCTCGTGGCACGCTGATTCAGCGATCATAGCATATCAAACCCATGGTTCGCGAAACTTGAGCTGGAAATCGTGCGATCGGACCACGAAACATCCCGTCCGTTTTCGCTAAATACTCAATTTTCCCCTTGGAAACTAATTGGGCCCGGCAACAATTGCCACGATTAACATTCACTATCGACTTAGATGNTCACTTGAATAATTTCAGTTTTTTTAATCGCATCCACAATTTTGGAATCACTTTGAGCGCTATGGGGTGATTTATTGATCAACCATCTTCCCGAGTTTTTCTTCTTTTCAGTCACTTGGGTGCCAGGGCCAATGTTTATGGCAGGTCCGGGGTTGAAGGCTTCACGTTGCTGGAGTTTCACTTTTTTTAGCATTTTTTCAATCTTTTTTTTTCTTCACTATTATTTTCCACTATCCGATCACTCACTATTTTTATTCCATTTTGATTTTTCATCTTCACAGAATATCGAGGTACTTTTCGTTTAAAACTTCCAGGCTTATAACCTGTTGGGCGCACTAAACTTCCACTGTTTTTGGGAGATGGGCTCACTTGACTTGATGGCATTTTTTCGGAAACGCAAATGTAGTCAAAACACCCTCGTAAGGCTCTTTTATGCAACACTAGTTGGGAGGAGGAGCTACGAGTTTTCCATATTTTGGAAAATCTAACCTTGGTGGGGAGTCCTCAATATCCTATGAGAAATAAGCCTCTAGTTTTTCTTTTTCAGCCCACTTCGTTTGCATTTGCTGTCTATTGTAAAGAAAGACCAGTGATTGGTCGTTTTTGCTTATAGATCAGTGTCTCCTCCCCCGCAGGGAAATAGTATTCTTCGCTGCACTCCCTATAGAATTAAGGCCAGGCAAATTTTTCGGCCACTCTCGCTTTTGTCATGTTACAAAATTTTCCAAAAAAGAATAGTGAATATTTATCCAAAACGGAATAAATATTCACTAAGAAAAATTGTTCGTAAAACCTTTACAACGTCCTCGCAACCGAAAAGTCGCTCGTGGCACGCTGATTCAGCGATCATAGCATATCAAACCCATGGTTCGCGAAACTTGAGCTGGAAATCGTGCGATCGGACCACGAAACATCCCGTCCGTTTTCGCTAAATACTCAATTTTCCCCTTGGAAACTAATTGGGCCCGGCAACAATTGCCACGATTAACATTCACTATCGACTTAGATGCCTTCAGAGCACGTCCAATGAGATCGAACTCCTTGGATCTATACGCGTACGGAACTTATTTAATTTTGCCAAACGTACAAGTTGGATTCAAGTAAAAACTATCATTAATTTAGTGAAGAAAAAGTAAAATTTGAAAAGGGATAGACATATCTGCCCCGGATCGGTCGACAAGCTGCGAATTGTTTGTTACGGTTTGTGGAAGAAATTCTGTGCAAGGACACATGCTAAATAAATTGTTTAGGAACTTAACAATCGTACAACTGTGAACTTTAGATAAGTGAACTTTAGTATTAATCTAAAATCTTAGTGCAACAATTTGATAAAACAAACTTTTAAAATTTGAGTGAAATAGAAGTGAACAAAATATATAGAACCACAATCGAATTTTCGACACTCAGCAACACTCTGAAGAACACATTGGATTATTAATTAAACTATTGTGTAAAATCAGTTTGAGACTTTGACCAAGTGATTGATCATATTTTCGAACAAGGAGAAGAGGGGTCTGTTTCTGACAAGGAAGCCAAGATTAAAATTAAGGAACTAAGAGGAATCCCGCGAACAGGCGAACATCCGATCTGACCTTCATATAAGTAAGTAAATGAGCAAAATAAAATCGTAGAAAATCTGGCGAATAGTTTTGGTTAGCGTAAATGAAAATTGTTCAAAAGTTAGAAGTATTAATAAATACCTCCGCGAATAAAAGTAATGAACTCTCCAGATCGGCGCAACTGAACACAAAAAGTGAATTCACAAAATTGAAGAATATTGCTCACTGTATATGATAATGAATAAACACTAAAAAGGGAAACTTCAATTGGTTCTGTTTTTGATTATTGCTTGATTGCCCCAAAACAAAAAGAAAATCCTTCGTCTTCAGATGCATGTGCTTCAAAGGTAAGGATCCGCTAAATAAAAAAAATTATTTTATTCAATAAACAAGAAAATGGCTTAATGATCAACATAATTATTTTTAAGTTTATCGTTTGCAATTCTCATGTTTATCACACTTTGTATAATCTCCTTTTTTCTATACCACTGAAATAATATATCCCTGATTTCCACATCTTGTATAATAACATATTACTATTAAACAGGATTGCACTTTTCACCAAATGCAAAGTCTTATCATTTTTCGCGTATTTTCTATCGTTTAATAAACTAGCGATAGCGATGCTTCTCAGCGATGGAGGATTACACATCATTCGAAAACTCTCTTCTATCTCATCGTTGGATTCAGCCGGTTCTTTGTTGTAGCATACTTGGAAAATGGTATACATATCCATTCCATTCTCGTCTTGACCACATAATCTATCCCTTCGATACTTGATATGTATTTTACTCCTTTCTCTTTTACTTTTGTCTATGCAGCAACATTCATCACCTGATTGGAAATCATCTACTTGACATTCTAGTTCTTTTTCCGCCACGATCATTCGTTTTTTCGGCGGTATGTACTTTTCATCTTCCGTGTATTTATCAACATATACACGTATGCGTTTCTGACGAAATCTAGGCTTTCGTTTTTCCCTGTAATTCTCACTTGGTGACCGATCTGCGAGATATTTATCGAATAGTTCGACGTCTTGATCTCTCCAAATTTTGTTCATTTTTACTGTCCTAAATATATTTTCACGTATGACTGACAACAAATAAATCCAAGTCACTCGTATTTAAAAAATTTCGCAGTGGCGGGGCAATATTATAGGAGTGGGGGTAGCATGATAGAGGGGAGGGTAATATACATCATATGAAATCCATGGTAGTGGGGGGTCATGTGTGACGCCGACGCCGCAGCTCTCCCTA